AGGATGAATGCCAAAATTTGCTAATTTCCAGAGGGTCAGGGTTCAATTCCCATTACAACCAGCATGGAATCTAAATGTTTTTTTTAACTTAATTATGAAAAAGCAATCGGTAATTGCAAGTCGCTTCATTTTAATTTGGGCCTATTTGAATTGAATATTTCTATACTAAATACTAAAATTTGTATACTTAAATGTATTACGAGTTGCGTTGGTGCTCTTTCATATGCGTATTTTTTTAATTTATCACGCTTTTTTAATTATAAACTTCTTTCTCTCAGTGCACCGGTTTAATTTGTGAAATAGTTACATTTCGAGATGAACTTTGCACAAGCAATAGTTTATGATCAGTATATGAACCTAAATACGTTCAAAATGACGTGCACAGAGTTATACAATTTTATTAAGGAAAATACAGAAGTTTTGAAACAAGTTCACAGCAACGAAAAATATTACTGATGTTTTAATGTTATCTTGTACTTAAATTTTTTTCTTTCATGAAACCTAGGGTACTTACAAGTACAGTGCCGTACAAAATTATTGGCTCAGAGGCTCTTTCATCAGATCACCATTTCTAATCAGATCTTTTAGAAAAATTTTGAAAATGTAGCTTTTGAGCCAATTAATAAAGTGCAATTTCGAAGTTGCCAGCAAATTTCGTTGATGTTTAGCATTTATAGTTTTTGCTGACAGTGTCTTCCACATAAAAAGAGTTATGGAAAATAGTTTGTATGGAAGAAACTCTCATTAAAAACAATACCAAAAATCAACTAAAATTTAATGGGCTGAAAAACTTCATTTTAAAAATTTTTAAAAAAAGTCTAATTAGAATGTTGCAAATTTGTATGCAAATTTGTTGAATTTTCCCAAGTTTAGCACAAAGTTTAACAATTCTATTTTTATGTTTTTTCATATGTTTAGTATAAACTGTATTTGTATTAAGAATAAAAAAAGGTTCATGCATTGTAAAAAATTCTCTGTGCTTTAGTTGTAATAAGTTGTTTTGTTTTGTTGGCGTACGTTGTAATGATCTCATGATCTCATGTTTTTATGTTTTTGTTTTTGTCTGTCAAAATAAAATTTCACTACATCCTTTCGCACGTCGAAATGAAAGGGAAGGAAGGGAGAGGCCCTCCCTAAAGTGTCCCGGTTTGGCAACAGAGATATCCTAATTAAGAATCTAAATGTTAAAAGCAACCCAGTGATCTTCCAAAATTTCACGATTTGAACATGGTTTAGTGAGAAAAAGTGGCAACATTGCTGAACAATCGTACACCAAGGGCAAACACTTTGGGGGGCACACTCACCACTAGCTTCGAACCTTTTTTTAAAATGAACACGTAGAACCTTTTGGTGGGAATATTAACACACTTTATTAAATTTGCGTTAGCGGGGTTATAGCGCAGAACACGTCTGGTCGATATGACATTCGCAAAATTGTGTTTTGTTTCATGTTATGTCGTAATTCATGTGTGTATGTATGTGTAAGTACAATTCATGTGTATATGTGTG